ATTGTCTGAATTTCCTCTTGCTGGATCCATTATTGCCGTGAGCAACGCCAGAAGGACATTTTAAATGCCTTTAAAAGGGAGAGGTTGGTCATTTTTAACCCTGGACGATATATTTTACCTGTGCAGGTCATAGAGGTGGACCTTACACCTGTGTCCCGACTGAAAAGTGAGTTATGTTGGATGCAGTGCAATTTATTGGGAGTCTTACGTGTTATGTAATATTCAAAAGGGTTTCTACGTAATAAAATTAAGTGTACTGTAAGACAACATTAATTTTATCTGTAAGTGGTTTCTTATTCATCATTCCAACAACAGGCAGTGTAAGTAGAAAATGTTTATTCAGTGAAATGGCAAGAATAAATAATAATAATAATACTTTTCTTTAGTTTAAACATATAGTATATATAAAAATAACATTGATTTGATTTCACGATATTTTTGACTCAAGTGTAAAAGTGGCCCAATCCATATATTAAGACAAGATTAACCATGATTTATGTGATTCTGAAATGATTGGCAATAATTTGTTCCCAGTAATGGTGACATCTTATTCAATGATTTATGGGGTGTCTATGTCAGACAAGGACAGTTACATACTTATGTTGTAACTGCAAACATGAAAACAAGAAAATCTACTTACAACTAACTGGAGTGAGATTCGTAACAGAAGTTACAATTAACTGGAGTGAGATTCCTACAAAGTTGTGAAAGTGAAATTTTACTGAACAAGTATCGGTTAACAAAATCATAGTAGTCCCCTTCAAGATTTCAGTCATAACAATTACTGTTATGTAACTGAGACACCAGATTGTTGGTGTATAAAAATCCTGTTAAATAATGACAAATGAAATGACTGAAAGAGGTTTTAAATCCATCACCCACACTCTCCTTCTTACAAAAAAATTGTACTCAGGAAAAAACAGACCTACAATTAAAACAAATACAAAACTCCTGCACTTCTCTTGAAATACTGGTGTACGATGATATGCATAATGACGGATGCCGTTTTAAGTACAATTACGGCTCCAGAGTCTACTTTCCAAAGTGTAACAAGACACTTGTGATGGTCCTTGTGACACAGCAGCTGATGGAAGGAATATTGCTTTTATGGCAGGTCTCATGGTGTATGAGTGAGTTGGGATTTATAGAACGATATACATAAATATATATGATATACATGAGTATATAAAACCAATGGCCTACTCTGCTTCCAAATCAAATCTACTTGTGCTAAAGTTTCTTGGTCCCTTTTCATGATCACTATGGCAAGTTGGCAACGATGTTTACATCGCTCTCAAGTTGTTTGTTCAGGTCTCAACTGATACAGCTCATAGCGCTGTACACATTTTTTTTCTACATTAAACATGAGAAACATCTATTTCCTGTCAAAACAAGATGACTGAATTTCTCACATCTGGTCTTGATGGCCGTACTTAGTGTCAACTCTAATCTCCACTCTTTTCTTTTCATAGAATGACAATGTGGGGAATATAAACAGGTTTTCATGTGATTGGGTTATTTTGCTCAAGAATCCTCTGTTCTCCCCGCAGACAACCTAAACACACATTCCAAAACTTAACTTGAAAGCCAGTTCTACCAAATTTTGTTGTGCTGAATCTTGAAAGCAGACGTAAACTTCTCTGGGGTAAGGATCGAAGAAGAGACGCCTAAAATTTAATAAATAAATAAATTAGACAATTAAAAAAATTATTTTGACACAGCAAAACGTTAATAAAATTTTAAAACATTAATTTGAAAAAAAGCAGTATTTCAAAAATTTTTTAGTATTTTGGAAAAAATAAAACTCTGCAGACACGTACCCGACAACCCAGTATGTTAATGACGGTGCCTCTTTTTTCTTGTCAGTACGACTCTCTGGGGAACACCTGAACAGCACACCATGTTCTTTGACATCTATCAAGGAAGTGTCCTCACCCAGACGGCTCTTGATACCCTTGGTTTCTCTCTCCTGAAAGGAAGACAGTACACAGTATAGTCATTAATCATAATCACATAGGAATCAGTCCTCAATGTACAGGTGGTTAATAAGTACTAATGATTAATGATGATGGGAACCTTTCATTAAGTTTTAATGTTAATGAGAAATACCACAAGAAATTCTTGGCAGCTTCTTAGCACAACAAAAACTGTCACAGTATTGCATACAAATGATAATTATCTTAACCCATCAATTGATAAGATGAGATATTAGTGAACCAGTTCATACTTTGATCATGAATTTTTAAACTTGATCAACAGTGTTTCATTTCTTGGGACTGATGATGCTTATTACTGTAAAACACTGCGCAGCATCATGTTCCCTCTCCATAAGAGCCATTCCATGGTGACCTCCCCACCCCCCATAAACTTTTTGGCAAATTTCTACTAGTTTAATCAAACAGAACTTGGCGCACTAGTGAAAGTACTAATTCTATTTTAATTTTTCATGGAATATGAGAGACGAAAAAGTTATACATTAAGGAAGGGGGAGGGAGATATTACACTAAAACTACACAGTGTGTATTGACCTCATTTATATCATGTCAAACCCTATACACCTAACACACCCCAGTCAACTAAAACCCTACCTTCGCCTTGACTGCCTTCTCAAAGACCTTCCTGATGATGAGGCAGCATGCGTGGAAGTTCTGTACCAGCTGAGAGTGAAGGGCACTGCCCTCTAGGTCACTGACCTCTGCCCCAGTGGGGCACACATACACCCCCTCCATGCTGTCCAAGTGCAAGTAGTGGAACAGTGTGTTGTCAAGGCCAGCGGTCATTCTGCAATGGTCAAACCAAATTGTCTCTTTAGGATTTGTATCTCATAATGATGATCAGATACTAGCTCAGAGTCTATAATAATCTGATACAATTCTAATTGCAGTAAATCTACCAGGACTATTATAACGTTTTTTTGAGTTTTTTGTCATTTTTAGTCCTTATATGTCCCTCAATAAAAAAAAAATTCCTTAAAAGTAAAACAACAAAATATTCAACAGTGGATCAAGCTGGTATATCTGTAGCTTACTTGACTGAATCCTGTCGAAGGAGGTCCCTCCTCATCCCAGACATGTCATAGGCACCTGGCATGGTTCTGCTCTTCTTGCCAGTGTTCTGAAACAAAACAATTCTCTTGAAAATAAGACATACAGCTTTACTTACTGCATTACATAGATAGTCAAGGTTTTTCTGCTTAGGCATGTTAGCATGTTAGGTGTATTTTTGGTATAATGACTAATGCACATCTTTATATGACTTACAGGGTTTGTCTTTATGCAGTGATTTACAAAACAACACAAAACATTGAATCATACTAAAATTCTATAAAACAGCAATTCTTCACATTCTATCACACATTTCCAAATATCTATAAAAATGTTTTTCCTTTTTTTTTTACTTCACCTGACCTACCATCCTTAACCAAGAATTTCTATATTTGAAAAGAGAATTTGACACAATGGACATAAACAAAAGCTCAAATTTAGTAAAAGTTACATTTCTCTAAATCATGAACAGATATAAAATGGTACCTTGAACAGCTGGTTGCTGCCTCCACTGCCCCCAGAGTCCTCAGAACCAGCAGACGGCTTGCGGTCAAATGTCCGGTTCATGACAGGGGTGGACCCCTCACTGGTGTCAAATGACTGGGTACTGTCACCATCAGACTCTGAAAGTAAACATCACCACTGTCTCAATACAGTTACCTACTGATCCAGATAGTCAACATATTCTGCAAGGTGTCACTTTGTTTTAAGACATAACATGAACTTGGTGTCTAGTACAGGGCATTTCTATTAAGATGAAACTTCATTTATGATTAAAATAGTAAAAACAAAGCCACTTGGACAAATAACATAGTGAAAAACCAAAATATGTCAAAATTTCACACTAAAAAAAAAATTTTTTTGAACTTCATAAACCCTGTCCAATAATTTAAATTATCTAACATCATAATTGCACTGAATGTCTATCAGTATCATTTTTTTTTTTTTTTTGTATCAGATTCAGCTGGAACATTCACGGTTAGACATTTAAATGAGCATCACTGGTCAATACCTGTTCTTGACCTGTCCAGCAGAGGACTAGGCTTTTTATTCTTCAGTATGGACTCTGGTCCCTGAGATTTCTTGCTGACTGGGGAAGCACCTAGAGCACAGAGCAGGTCACACAACCCAGGGTTAGTGAAGGAAAAGCACTGCCACCAAACACACGATATATATTTGAAGTTTACGCTCCATATGTTCTTCATGTTAGAATAAATAAATAAATATAGAAAAGAGGTACCCTTGACTAGAATTAAGAGATTATCATAAAAAGCTATCTGTTTTCAGTAAAAAAAAAATAAATTAATAAATCAGTCCTTTGACAGTCTAAACTGTTTGGAAAAAGATCCATAATTTTAACTGAAAGCTTGAAGAACTTAATATGCTGGAGATAAATATGTTCAGTGTATGATACTGAAAGCTGTGTACTTTTGCTACATAATAAATACCAAAAGCAAAATCAAATATGTAAAATATGATGATATATAATGTTATCATTCAATGAACAAAACATAAAACTTGATTGATTAAAAATACTCTAGTTTTTTTTCCCCACATTATCTGTTCATCTGCATTAAACAGAGCTATTTATCAGTGTTAAGGTATACAAAAAGACACATGCAATAAGGCCGTAAATTGCAACCTTATGACTTGGATGTCAAAACAAGGCCTAGATAGCATGGAAACCACTTTCTTGCACCCAGACAGATTCTGTGGAGACATAACGTTTTGCTGTGCATACAGACAAATAAATTACTGAGAAAAATGTCTGTTCATTGAATGATTAAATCATCCCCCCATGTTTGCTTATGAAAAACAGGTTACATCAACCTGCAGTGAGTCATATCTCAGGGGGCCATGGTAGATTGAGATATGCCACAATGTAGTTTGATACAAACCTGTACCTAATAAGTAAACAAGGGATAACTAGCTGTGGAGCATATACAAGTAAATATAAGCATAGCTTCCAGAAAAGTATACTACCATTTTGTACAAAAGACCCAAGGGAGAATTAAGAAAACTGACTTCTCATGTGTGATCTGTTTTATGCTCCTCCTACCTGCTTTAGTGCCTGCTTTGGCATTTTGTTGACTGGAAGCACCTTTATTACCCTGGAGCTGCTGGTCTGCAGTGATCAGGGCGGGGAAAGATGGAGAGTGAAGTCTGTGGAAGATGAAGAGATGAGAGTATATAGAAAAACCATGTTATGATTAATGATTACATCTTATGATGTATATTCCGTATTCCATGCACTTTTCTATAAATCCCATTCAACAAAGTTGACTCAATATTTTGACTTGGCTTGAAAAAAACATAAAAGCTGTATGGTTTAATCAGAAAAAAAGGTGCCAAATGACCCAAGTTGGGCCACAGCATTGTAACCTCAGTACAAGTAGATCTCATCATCAACACATACAACATGCACTCCAAACCCAGTGTAATGTTCCTATAAGAAACTCCATTCTACATTCAATTTTGAACCATAAACTGGTCCAGATGTGTCCTGTATGAGCACACATGTCCCTACCTGGCCTCACACTGTCCAGCCATGTCCAGTGTCTCCAAGTGGAGCAGAGTGGCCCTGGCCTGGTCAACAAAGAAGGGGTCAGGGGTGGGGTGACCCTCAATCCTGGAAAATTGGGAAGAAAAACTGATAAGTTTCTTACTAAGAACATTCTTTAGTGTTGAACAGATTGAGATTGACTTTTTTGAAAAACTCCAGGGTGTCATTTTATGCAAATCACTTTAGGATTTCAGACAATAATCTGGAGACTTTAGGGGAAAATGTACATGCAGAAAATTTTTACCATTCCTCGCTTTCCTGAATAAGAACATGAAGAGAGTAAAGGATGTTAATTTTTTAAGTTTTTTCTGAGACTCATGATTTTTTTAAGTTGTGGTCCAGGTGTTTGTAAGGCAAACCATGTTTTATGTAGGTAAAAATTAATATTTTTACACCATAAAGAATTTAAGTAGTGATATCTTACCAGCCAGCACATCCTCCTGCCTCTAGCAACACACATATCAGACTGTGTTTCTGGAACAACAATTACATCCCTTTATGTATCATTCTGACCACAAAAACCTTTGTTAAATACAAATAAATAATTACAGTGTAGAACAGTTTCAAAAAAAGAATCTTCACAAGTCTATTATAAATAATTACAGGGTTTCAACATATGTTTGACATGTTTCAAATATAAAGAAAGAATCAACCTACAGAGCAATCAAGCAATACGCTACTACTAACTGTCATCTCGAAAGTAGCACAATTGGTGAACTCACCAGTCCCACCACCAGTAAAAACCACCTTGCATCTGGTTCCGTATAACCTGGAATTAAGGGGTCTGTCTGCTCATGACAGCGCCGCGTGGGGAACACCTCCTTCCAGACAACCACTTGCCCCACCTGGTGTTCAGATGATAACGCCAGCAGGCAGTAATACTTGGTGTATAGAGCGATATCCATGAAGTCTTCTTTGTGTAGGTGGTTGGCTATCAAGTAACCCTGAAGTCAATACAAAGACAACTGCATTATTATGCCAGCCCCAGCAGGCAGAAATACTTGGGTAAACTGTGAATATCCAGGGAGATGTCTTAGACTAAGAATTGATAATCAAGACACCCTTGAGAACGGATAAAAATATCTGTAGGATGGTTTTACTATTATGAAAAGGGAGTCGATACGAAATTTTGTCTTGTACTGCTCATTCCTAATCTCTTTAATTCATCTATCTTAAATTAGAATATTTTACTGATGAATTAACCATTTTTAAAAAGGTAAAACGACAGTAAAGAAGAAGATTGTGGCTGTACTTTGAACTGATGGAAAATATGAATGAAACAGGGGTGAAGGAATACTGTCAGTACCTTATAAAACAGACAGGACCCCAAGATGGTGTAACTTCTTCTTCTGTCATAGTAGCTGTCAGACTGAAAAGTTAAAGATGGAAACATACAAAATTTAGAAGAATAAATGTATCGAATAAGGTTGCTTATTCCATGCATTAACATGGGTTCTACCCACCTTAAAACTTTGCATTGCAGGCATAATTTTAAAGTTTATAATACAATCAATACACATATCTTTATTAGGTTATTATTTTTACTAAAATATTGGTAAACTTATAACTTCTCACCATCTCAGCAAAATCTGCTGCTTCTAATTCACTAAGGCTGTTGCTTATGTTGACTTTGGGTTCATCTGGCAGGTCCAGCCACCTGACTCCAGGCAAGGTGTCCAGGAAGCCATCTTGTCCTGTCTCCATACACTTCATACCATGCTGTCTCAGCTCCTCATTTAGTAGAACCCTCTGGAACAGGAGGCTGAAAAAATGGTCCAGCTTTTCTTGGTGCTCTCTCGGAACAAAAGCACTGAAAATATAATGAGACGAATTATTTGATAAATATGTAAAATATGCAGTAATTTAAAAGAACAAACTTGGAACCATTAATATTTATCTTGGACATTTAATAGATGTAAAGCAGAAGTAGATTTAGGGGTGATTGATGCATTTAAACCTTTACATCATTTTTACAAGAATATTCCCTGTATTATCACGTTTAATTCTTAATCTCAATCTTAATCTACAGGGATATTTTATCAATTAAATAAAAACCAGTCTTAAAGTTTTTCTCCTTACCCTCTTAGAGATCCATACAGCACCTTCATCATCCTGACAGTGTCATCCACTACATGGTTTAGTTGCTCTGCAGGCACTCTGAAATTGCACTCAACAAAGTTAGTCTAGCATATACTTTTATTTTTGAACAGCAGGGTTAACATTATTATTAAAATTACTTTAACATTAACAAAGAAATACTTGTCTTGAAGGTAAGTTATAAAATCATGATACCAATTTGTCAACCAATATAACTAAACACAGCATTACCTGTTAGCAGGTACCCCTATAATCAAGACTTCTCTGCCTTGTTTGGAGTATCCCACATGGATTAGCTGGCCTTCAACCAGAAGAGTAGAACTGAAATTTATAATAAATGTGTCGATAAGCAAAATGTAGGCATCTAGTAGTTTTGAGTAATATAATTTAAAATCTATTTCATACATACTTTAAATCATTTTGCTTATCTCTAGCTTAGGTATGGCAAACTATTTTTCAAGTTTGACAACCAACCACTTTTTTAGCATTAATACAGTAATTTCTCCTTGAAACAATAAAGCAAACAATTCTACTTCATTTCAGAGAGAGATAAGCCTTAAGGGATTAATCTGCTTACTTTTTGGCACTGTTATTTGTGACATCAACCAGCATGTGGCACAGAGTGATGAACAGCCCCCGCACCTGGACCAGTTTGTTATCCTGTCTTGGAAACTGGTACACTATATCCTCCTGAAGAGTGGCAAGTTTAAATTATAAACAATTAAAATTAGGGATATTTTGTGGATGTATGTGTCATTGTAAACTTATAGCAGAAAATAGCCAGCTTAAGTTATGGAGAATAAAAATATATTAGATATTCATCTTATCTATAATTTATAGACACATTTATAAACAAAATCCACTCTTTTTTAATAATTTGGCAAGAGATAAATGAAAGATGAACAGATGGGGGAAGACAACGTTGCTTTAGTGGTTATTTGAGCCAGATGCCTTTACCTTCTCTCTCATGCTGTCAGAGCTGCCCTCTAGTGTTAAGTACATTGCTATGTGAGGTACATTCTTGAACTGTGGTATATATGCACCCAGTCTCTCCCCACTGACCAGCTTGACCAAGTGGTCAGTTGCATCATTGGTCTTTCTGGCCAGAGCTGGTCTGGACGGAAAGTCAATGGCCAACTTTTGAAGGGTTAGTTTGACCTGGAAGAAAGGTTGGTTAATATTAAGTATAAAATTATTTTCATCAATTCTCCAAGTTTTAAAAGTAAGAAACAAATAGACTTGCTTGCCCATCTCAGTGATAACATATAAAGCTGCAACTATACTCTTTGGTAGGGTTTGTAATCAAAAACAAATTAAACAATGGCTGAAATGATTTACTTTAAATTTTGTAGTTCATGTAATGTTGACCTTTTTTTTTTAAATAAACTTAACTTATTTTTTGTTTCAATATATCAATTAAATTTTATTCTTAACTATAGAACTTCAACAAATACATAACAAACACATATAGTGCTTGAATAAGGCCAAACTTGGGAGTGTACCTGTAAAAGATAAACTGACCAAACTGCCAGGTAGCATTGATTGTGTAGCTAACTTACCTGTGTTGGTCCCTGTATTGTAGATATCACTGTATCAATGGAGTCAAAATCAACATCTAAATCATTGACTTTCATCAGCCAGTCACCTGAAAATAGACAAAAAAAAACAACTTCTTATGTTGTATACATCACCTCAGCATGTCCACGGTATATACTGTACCTTTAAGTATATTTTATTTACTATATTGGTTATACTTGAAAAGGGTTCTTTCTTTTTTTAACTTACAGAAAATCCGGTGAAACAGGATCTTATCTTATTAGCTTAAAAGTAATGTTACATAACAGTTGGAATATCATTCTAATATTTTCCTGCAAGAGTAACACAAATCTACTCATGAATTATTTATTTTACAAAAAGTTAATAAATCAACAAAGTTTAACAATACATACAACAGTTAGCAGGTCTATCCTACCTATCTTAATGTGTCCACACTTAATGGCTTCCCCCTCGGGGACCAGCCCCTGCACCATGATCCTGGTATCCCTGACCCCAGGGCCTCCATTCTCCACACCATTCCTCATTGGCTGACTGTCAAAACTCCCCGGGATAATCCCAAACACTGTCTCACACAGGGTGGCCCTACGGCCATAGTTGTGTCTCCCTGGCTCCACATTGATGTAAACTTGTCTCCACAGCCCCTGTCCCACTACAGAGTCCTGGAATGTGACACTTCTAGGGGGAGTGCTGGTGTTATTGGGTTGAACGTTGGCGTGACCATTGAGGTCATCCTTTTTCTTGAGTCCAATAAAGCCTTTGATTTTCTTTATAGAAGTCTTTTCTTTTTGTTTTGCAGATCCATTTGTTTGTGCTGAATTCACTTCGTGTGAGTTTATACCTGAAAAACCACAAAAGATTACGCATCTTAATACAAAACTAGTAGTTAAATAATATTTCACCATGAACTGCATACATATTATGTCTTTCAGATCAATTACAAAATCTTCATTCTGATTCCCATAATATCAAATGTATGCTTAATCTAATCAATAATACAAGTAATGCCTAACATCTTGTAATTCAGCTAATGAAAATTCAAAACATTTTTTCGAAATTCACCAGTGATTTTGTTTTTAATTTTAATTTTAATCTATCTTAAACTATGTAGCTATTTGGCTAGAGTGGACCAAGACAGTGTTACTGGCCTTTTCTCTGGTATTTGAAATACCTCTACCTGTGTTATTGTGACCGTTTATATGAAGAGGCTGATGACTTGTGAACAGTGCCTCTTCTCCCTCAGGTGGTTCTACATAGAACAAGTCTCCTTTCTCTCCAACTTTATTTGCCCAGGCTGGCTCAAAACTGCTGTAATATAAAAACATATATCTAAATTGAGCATGTTTGTTTACTTGTGTTTACTCTTACTGTTTATAGACAAATGTCCCATATTGTAAGTTTATTTGCCATTAGTTGGCAATAAATTGGTGTAAGAAACATGAATTGAACTTTCAAGGAAAATTGCAGCGGATACATCTGTGAGGATAAAGGTACTGATTGGCAGTCACTTTGGTCTAAGAACACTCCAATCTTATATCACCACATTGTAATATATCACAGTGTGTTACTTGCCAGATACTTACACTGCTTTCAGAATGCTACAATATTCTTCAACAATACCAAAATCTGCAATCTTGAACCCATTTTATAATAATATATGTGTATAATGGGTCCAAGATGCAATCTATAAATCTTTCTGTTACCTTGTTTCTCAACACAAAACACTAAATAGCACTTAATGTTTAGGATACTGAACAAAGTTCAAATAAACACAATTGAAATAAACCACTGAAGTTACTAAGTCGATTACTGTCGTCTCGATGTGTCTTTTAGTTTTAATGTTGAACAAATTGCATTCAAAATTAAACGATGCACACGTATTCGCGGCACTGTAAGCAAGTACTTAAATGGGTGATATCATTTTTGTCCAAATGAAAATATGTGTTTTTGACACATGGTTATTGCTGGCGGTATTACAAAGCCAGACAGACGCACTGATAAAACGAATGGCATTCCAAAACAAGTTGACATACTCAGAAAAATCATCATCGGTGTAAGAGGACCAGCTATCTTCCTCATAATCATCGTCGTCCACGATTTCTTCTCCCTCGTCTAACGGGCCATAGTAATCGCGCGGATATGACCTAACAGCCATTGCATTCAAAGAAGCAATTACATTCAAATGGATTTTACTGTCACTTCAAACTTTGTAAAAAGAGCACCTTCTTCCGCCATCTTGTTTACATCCGGGCACTTGGTAGTTTAGGTCAAAGCTAGCCGCTAGAGGTCAGTATTTGACAGAATGTTGACACGCCCTCAACAGTAACAAACAAAGCACAAACGTACGCACGTTTAGTTCTAAGAAAACGCCTGAACCAGAAAACTATTTTGCTGAACGTGCCAGAAAACATTGAACAAAATATCTCGTGATGGATAAAGGGAGAGTGTCTATATCTTGGGCCCTTAGTATAATCAGGGAATTATATCGGATATAATTAGATAAACTTACTGCATGGATCGCAGGGAATTAGAAAAATACATTGTAGCAGGCTACACTAAAAAGTCTAAAAAATCAATCATCAAAATCGCAATCTGTTATGTTTTTAAGAGGGTGCATTTGCGTATGGACGTCCGCCAGTTTTTTTTTTTTTCTTCTTCTTTTATTATTATTTAAAAGGAAACGCTTCAGTTTTACAACAGAGTGGAAATACACACACACACACACACAAAGAAAAAAAAAAAAAAGGGAAAAATCTGTCGAATTTTATCATTCCTAAAATCACGATAAATTGAAAAGTAATAAAACAGATTTCTGGAACAGAATTAGGTGGAATAAAATTTGAGAGACAATTGTAAAGCAGTGTGGTTGATTACGAAGAGTATTTTAAAAGCAAAGGCCTAGTAGTGCTGTCGGGATCAAGAAGAAACATAGGAAAAGGCATTAATCTGGAATAATCACACAGGGTAACCATCTTGCAAGCAATTAAACCCATTCATGTGAACTCCACAAATTTTTCCGATTCTATAGTTTTCATGTCTTATTCCATCACGCCATGATTTTCAGAGTTCTCATGGGACGGCAGCTTACCTCTAGTATGTGAGCCCTGTCAGTGTTCAACTGTTCATAAACGGCTAGTAGGCCTACTGATGTAAGAGACGAGCCTCTAGCAGACACCGAAAGTAAATGTGACCTATTGTTAATGACATGTTCAACAATAGCACTATATATTAACTGGTAAGCACTGGAATATGCCTTTTAAGTTTAAAATTCAAAACACATGGTGATCTGTTGGGATCGTAAAAACACACTTTAATTCTTTAATTTTAACCAAACAAAGTATGAATGAAAAATGCAGTCAGGGAAAAAAAGAAAGGGATAGTCAAAGAAAAATGTATTGGAAATCACCACTTTCATTGATCTGTGTACCTTATTCGTCCAAGTCTAAAGCAATGTCATATATATATATACATACATAAATAACGACTTAAAAATGGACAACAAAACTGACATGACAAATGTTAAAATGAGTGATGCTTGATGACAGAAAAGTCATGCATTCAATTACATCAACATCCGTTTTCTTTCAAAACTCCAGGCAAAAATGTTGCGTCAAGCCACAAAAGACGGTACATATACAACGCTTGATACCACAACTATGTTCAAATCCAGCAGGTCAAAGGGTGGGTTCCCGCTAAACTGATTTTTCAGACAGACCAAATATTTATTCAGAGCTCATACGTGAACTAAAACATAACCCGGTACCGTTTATTTCAATGCCGTGCTGTTTAGATACTTTGGCTAATGGGCCGGTGTGCAGAGACTTGTTGTTGCCTTTAGATTAAACAAAGAATATCATATCAAATATACAGGAAAATCAATGTTATGTGAAAGTGAAGTAAAAATCTCTCTCTCTCTCTCTCTCTCTCTCGTCAAATCAAATTCAAACAATTTACTACCCTATAGAAGAAAAATCAGTTTCATTTTTGCCTGACTCTCTCCTTTTTATAATTTGATTATTACTACTATTCAGAAATAAACTCGCACGCAAGTAAAGGTCAAAGCCTCAGTAATTTGCACATATTCACATATTATTTTGGCGTTCTATCCTGCGGAAACAAAACTGCCACCTGCATGTCAGTTTGCTATTTTCTATGTTATTCTGGGAGGTCTAGCTAAAATGCTAGGGGCGTCTTCAACATTGCTAACAAGAATAAACTAACTGGTTGATCCCAATTGCAGCTAGTCATCCCTAGAACACTTACACTTGTATTGAATGTCACACCTGAAGACTTTTTCAAGTGACATTTTACAGTAACAGGTGTGCGATCAAACTTCCTTTAGTACTTTGCACATGGACATTTTTTACAGGTCATTCATATCATTATCTAAAAGGTATTTTGCTAAGGGTCACTGATCACTGTCTTTTGTGATGACAGAATCAAAGGTGATCAATGTGACATTGCTTGCAAAGGCTGAGAAAAATTTTGCGATATACTGCTTTAAGTTAAATTTCACTGCGCCAAGAAATTAACGATAGGTACATGTAGGCATAGTTTGCAGATTTGATAAAAAAAAAAAAAAATAGACGCCAAGCAAGAGGCCTAAGGCTTTACCTAAAATTCCTAACCTTATTGCCTTGTTTTTAACAGTATAGGCCTACTTATAATCTTAAAAACAGCTTGAAATTACTGAGAATTTCCCTTAAACAGAGACCGCGGCTCCTGGATACCTTAATACTTAAGTATATTATCTGATCTCAGCAAAACCAGAAAATAATATTAAGTAAAAAAAAAAAAAACAGTGTGAAAGGAAATTATATTCTTCTCGTTTAGATTCTTTTTCACACGTTCCCATTTCACAATTATGAAAAATACGTGCAAAACATGGCAAAGCAAGATGGCGACTGGTCGGTTCGTCGCTACACGGCGGTTGAGACAGGGGCTACTACTAAGGTGGCAATGCTTCACGTTTAACCACAAATAGACGGGGTCCGCACCAGGCAAGGTCAAATGTCCTCCTTTAATTGACAAGGTGGACAATTTTAGTGGGGAATTTGGCGTTCGGTTTTGACAGAGGTCAAACAGAGGGGCTGATTGAACCACGCAGAATGCTCGATGGATCAGTGGGCTGTGATCGTTGGACGTCCCCTACTGAGTCCTTCGGTGCAAAATTTCCCAACTGTTTTAAGAAAACAATGATCTTTGCATGTTCTTTTGTTCAAATCGAACTCAGCTTTTCCTTCACCTTCTAAACTGAATTCGATACCGAGGATGAGTTTGCACAGACATCCTTTTGTTACTAGCGATCACTGGTCACGCTACCGACAAGACCCTTTTGATAAAACGAATGATCGACCTGTGCGGAAGAACACGAAAATTTTTCTAATCGAAATATGGCAGGACAAAAGTGCTGTAAAAAAAGATATAACTAACAATGTTTAACCCATCACACACATATATATTTGAACTTGGACCTAAATAGAGAAGGCCTTCTCTATTTAGGTCCAAGATTTGAAGTAGAATACCGTGTTTGAAGCAGAATGAAAAGACTGAATGAGGCTTATCGCATTAAATGAGTGATTAATTCGTTGAAAGAAGCATATCTATAGATGCTGTCAAATCCGTAACATAGTGATACATGCGTGCTGATGCACAGACACCTCTGTGTCAAAATGAAATAATGAGCCAGAAATGAGGCAGAAATTCGACCAAATGACTTTATCACTAGAAAGGAAATATTTGATCAAAGCGTTTATAGACCTCACGTACAGCTGAGGTTTTGAAATAAATACAACAAGCCTGAAGACTGCAATGAATAAACACGAATCCCTTGAATGAATACGGACATTTACGCCATTAAACTCATCGCTTACACAGTTGAAGTATTCGATTCAGACTAGTCAGGATTAATGACGCAGAATCTATACAAATTCACAGCCTATCCAATAGTGCATAACTATCCATGACTTACCACTCATCTCATGTGCAATTAGTTTGTTGTCGCCGTGTAGTCCCTACATAATGGGTTTGTCAACCTTTCCCTATCATTTCAACAGTAGCCCGATAAAACTACGCTCAAAGATCTATTAGTCTATTTGTAAATCACTTAGCAGAAGGGTATCGGGGGATGATTGGAGTGGGGCGTGTGTATTGCTAAGTGCAAACCAGGTGCTTCATATTGATAAGATCCGTGATCATCGTCACACAGACCTGGCCTCAGTTATTCAGCGATTTTTTTTAACATTTTCTTTTTCAAAAATGAGATGTTTGCAACAGATGTGGGTAGCTACGTTCCTATGGGTGTGCTTACTAGTGTGCCCCCATACATATATTATTGATATACTTTAGACATACCTACATGATCGCAGATGACCAAATACACCTCTCTGGACTGCGAAAAATTATTGGCCAATAATTACTCTATAGCAGACAAAGAAGTGGAAAACTAAATACAATTATCCTCAAGATCACATATTTTGGGTTAGAGAGCACTATCAAGGTCAATTATACAATAAATACAACGTAAAAATCATCAAAATAAGATCTCACGGCGGAGAGATTACAGTTTACACAACTGTGAGATTGCCTTAAAGGTGAAACCACAGTGACATTCAAATCGAAATGCTTGGACGCACTGCTAAATAAATGTCAAAAGTTTGGCTTCGCAGTTCGCCTCACCCTGAAGTTTAACATTTTCACACAAAAACAGACACGCAAAATATCAAATTCAAATTTTCTAGCTAGTTTAAGCACGAACGTAAATTGGCGTCCTTGGTTTAAGTTTTCTCATTCCGTTTTTCAGCAAGAGAAATTTTGCTTGCAGAGAACACGAAGACGACCTATTTCACATGTCGATACGTCGAGATCCTTTGACATTAAGGTCAACTGTATTTAAGATAATGAAGTAGGAGCGCGAACCCATACCTTTGTGGCCTGCCAGGTGCCTATCTTTATCGATATCATTACTGCCAGTATGCTGGTATGTAACCATGGTTACTAACGGTACCATCAAAACAGAAGTCAGTCTTAGTTATGAATTTTGAGGACAGTATAGTTTGACAAATCGTGCACACGAACTTTCAACTGATATGATATCTAATCATTCAATGTGTCACGTAATAAAGCTATCTTATTCTCTATATACCCTATTGAAATGTGCCATGTCTGTTGAAGTTCACATAAAATTCTGTCAACGTGTTACTGTAAATCTGAGAAATCAGATTTGCCTGAGAGCGACGAGTGAACCGCTCATAAACTATGCGTGTAAATCGGCCTAACACTTTCATTATTACCACCAAGGCACGTTCCGGTTTCTTCTCATATCTCCATATTGGTATTATCTTGATATATTAACATTTAATCATCGGTCATAATACTCTGATACAGCACGGGTCATATCACTGTCATATTACTAGTCTGCTACTGGAAGAGCACTGGAGCCCCACAGTGAACCCAGTAACTAGAAGTAAGATTTGGAATCACTTGGTGAAAACACGTGAAAAATTCAGTGATTTTGCCATTAGTTATTATCGCTTCTGTATTATGGGTTTTGTGTAATGCACATGCTGGTGCCGACTAATTAAGTCTCTAAATTAAAAGCAGGAATATATGTAATGTGCTTACAATGACAATAAATTACCTGCGTTATGCTGAAATTGTAGGGCGGTCTGCATCACCAATATGTATGATCACATTATTACTCATTATAGTATACTTACAATACCGCCAGCCTGATTTCCTTTATCCGCCCAAGCATACTATCCCTCTTAATGAAAGGGATATCTCACTTACCAATTTGTATCTTAAAAATACTGTAGCAGAGGATGAATTTCATTTTTTAGGGGCGTGTGTGCAGTGATTTTGTTTGCATGGATCTCTTTCTCTCTCTGTGTGTGTGTGTGTGTGTGTGTGTGTGTGTGTGTGTGAGAAGAGTGAGTGGGGTGGGGGCTTTTTCATCTTGTTTTTTAGGCCTCTTAATACTTTATCATAACATTTCATGTTAACACCCTTAGTTTTGGGAAATTACAGCGACTCTCTTCATTTCCATCCCGCTGCGCAGACTTTGCCCAGCACATCAGCAAAAATAGCTGAACTTTTCGCTTTACTTTTAACTCAGGGTACCCGGCGCGTGCTTGTATTACCACCGTTGCCTTCAGCAGCACTGCAATCCTATAAAAAGCGCTATCAAAAATTGGAAAAAGATTCGAGCAATTACAGGCACGCTAACGTCAGTCAAAATACCCGAAAGGGTGGAGAGGGTTATAGAACTTCTGACATCTTGCTACAGACGTCGAAGATTGAACTAAAATTACTTTCGCGTCGTGTTTCATCTGTACATACATGTCACCGTTTTTGTGCCAGTCACAGTGTTGTACTGCTATTGTTGCAGCTGCTATTGTTACTGGTCGTTTTTTAAACACTGCATCTGTTATTACTGATTGACGATTCAAGCTTCCAAACTCTGCACCATTGCTATAACCATTGCATGTTAGACAAGACTATCTAATACTCCCAAGTCTACACCCGTTATAATTACCTGTTAGCTAGTATAACACAGATATCATCAAAATCGTCATAATCCTTTTTTGGATTCTGAATATCTGTTAATCCACCAAACATCATGGGTCTAAGCTACAGCACGGCTCTCATTGTGACACTGTCCTTCCATTGCCACTGGTTGGTTTACTATACTAGAACACGGTCCCTACGCTACTGTCTCTCCCTCCACCACCTAGATATGTCGGCCAGTTCGGAGATAGTGAAGGAGGTGGTGGAAGATTAATCAAGTAGATCCGATTCAGTCTGTGAGTGAGATGAATGGGGCACGTGCCCGTCGTGTGGGAAGGCTTAGCTACGCGTTCATTTCGACAGATCTTGCACAGCGTAAATTGCGCGTGATTTTTCTCCCCCTCTGTAGTTGCTGGTTATTCTGTAGGTTTTCTTTTTTTGTCCTCCGCCTCCCTCAGCGCTCGTCTTATCACCGCTGCACTTGTGCTTGCGTCTCACTGGCTCTGCGATGTCATGACGAACGCTGCCAGCCTCGCAAACAAAACAAATCAGAAAAAAAACTTTGAAGCAATGACACAGTTTTGCTGTTTGTTGCCTATTCTCTTCCGGCGGACAGACGCTACACGTCAATTTGCCATTTCCATGAGACGTCTACATTCAGAGTTTTTATGCTATCAAAGCCTACTTTGTGCGGATTTTCCTTCATTTACAAGAGTTAAGTGCTACTTATATCTGCAGGCAAGGTCCAAGCGAAAGATATGACGGTATTTAGGTGCCCTACACGTGCTACGGAGCCCATGTGCTTTTTTTCTAAACAAAATAACTCATTGCTGGCGACCAAATCAACCCTCGTATTGGAAATAGAAAGGTTTTACTCTGGTTGGTTTCACGCGCAAGGCTGCACACTTGACATGCAGAATATTAATACTGTCATCAAGCGGTTAAAAAGCTCAAACTTTTCTCCGATCAATCAATCAACGCCCTCGAATTCCTCTTTGTATTTTAAAATCCAAACCCGAGTTTCGAGCAGCCTTTTCCGTAAAATAACCCTCAGCTAATATCGCTTTCTGTCATCCATAAACTGTTCACTGGTTAGAGAGTGGTTTCCCCCATGTAAGTAGCCTAAGCTTGAGCAGTGGAGAGCATAGTCTAGGTCGTCGTTATGTAGTGGAGACGATGTGTCATTCCTCCTTCACTTGACAGCTGTAATACTGTGGAAGCGTAGAGAAAATGTTGATAAAAGAACCATTCATACAATAACGTGATTGCAAAGACCGTCAATCACGGCATATATCAATTAGTGAAGGTTCATCTTAAATATCGGAGTCATTGCATTGCCAATGTAAGCCACAGACACTAAAAAACAGCCTTGTGAATTTCTCGTGTGATTTCAANTTTTTAAATTCAAAAAGAGATATAAAGTAGCCTTATTTTATTACAGATATTCACTGTTAATCACAAACATATATCACAAAATAATTCACCCATTTCAGAGGTCACGTGCCCTCCCCTGCCTGCCCCAGCCAATGGGAAGGTGACGGCGTGTCAGGTGTCCATTAACGATGTCTGCTCATTTGACTGTGACAATGGCTACATTCTCAGCCCTAGCAACCAGCAGAGAAAATGTCAGCCAGACGGATCATGGACGGGATCCGATGTCACTTGTTTGCGTAAGTGACTGATGTGTTGTCGGAATTATTAGTGTTTTGCCTTAAACAAAAACAAGTTTCGTGCAGATCTTTAAACCAAAATTGTTTTTAAAACGTGAAGTCTTATTTTAGTTCTCTCGTCTGGTTCTTCAACAAGCATGCCAAACATCAACCCTATTTTCATTCATAAAAATGATCAACAACTATTTGTACATACATCACTCACATTGATGACTTTATGCCTTTCATATTTGTATTTATTAATAAATTAATTTCTTTATTTATCTTTTATCAGCGTGTGGTCAGAACACGTACAAGGCTGGTCCTGGTCAGTGTACCCGGTGTCCGGCAGACACTCACACCACAGGTACTGCCAGTATGCTGGTCGGCTGCATCTGTAACGACGGCTTAACCGGGCCTGGTGGAGGACCGTGCCAGGGTAGGTGGCAGTGTTCTTCTTATTAATTTTATTTCTTGAGTTGTTCTTGTCATTGTTTGATTGCAGAAAACCGGGGTGAAGAATTTGTGTGAGACGATTGAGTCGTGAGAGAGAGAGAGAGAGAGAATTTAGAATATTTATAGAAGTTCATGTGAAAAGTGTCAATTTCTGTGAATGCGCTCTTCCTTTCAGATGTCAACGAATGCTCTCGACAAAATGGCGGCTGTGAGCAGAGCTGTGAGAACACTAGGGGAGGTTTCCAGTGTAAATGCTCCATTCCGGGATACAAAGTAAACCCTGCCGACCGAAAACGTTGTATAGGTAAGATGTTGTTTCACATAAAGTTCCAACCTACTATTGTTTACCCTGTGTTTCAGAGATAACTGTGAACGACAAGGCAATGGAGGTGAGGTCACCAGATGGGCCTTTATCTGAAACACAGGGTGCACTTTTTATCCCTCTGTTTTATACTTTGCACAAAGTATTTCTGAGATTCGCTGTAACTTGCAGTGCTAGGGATGTATGCATTAGGAAGCATTTAAGGCAGTAAAACTTATCCAAGCCTCAGTTTGATGCACTGCTTTGCTGTTGTTTTCAATCGGCAGACCTTGAAACCCAAATATATCGATTTCATCCTTGTGGATTAAAAAAAAAGAATTTACAGAGTGGGGACATATGAAACATGTCTTCATTAACTAAATAGTACTCAAGATTACAGTGTGTTTGTAGGGCCTAAAACACGAAGTTTAAAGTCTTCGATATAATTTTGCATTTTCAGTGGAAAAACAATGTTCATCATTCACGACCCCTACAAATGGCGGCATCGTCTGTCACCATAAGAACGATACCAATACCGACCGTTGCCAGGTGAAATGTAATGACGGCTTTGAGCATCCCGTGAGAAGCAACCAGTTCGAGGAATGCGGGCCAGCCACGAACTTCAAGTGGTCGTATGAGATTAATAACATACCTATCCCTGCTTGTGTTGGTAGGTATAGTTTGTATTATTTTCTAATATTCTGCTGGGATAAAACGGGTTCTTAAAATGTTAAGAGAAAGTTTATCAAACCCAAAACATGGGCTATGCTTGTGGTACAGTTCTTGTCTTGGTATGTGTAGAACAGTCTGTGGGGAATGAAATAGTTTTCCACGGTCTTTTTCGTAGATTTTGAGTTTGTTACGTAGGCTATTCAACAAATCATGGTGATCAGTATTTTAAGAGATTTTTGTGGTTTCATTTTTGTGACATGTCATATATATAGTCAACTTATGTGTTTGATTTACCAAGTACACTTTGCAACATTTCAGCGCTGATTTTATGTTTTCAGACTTTAACTGTCTCGTTTACAGTATAAAAAACAAGTTATGACTTGAAAAACATATTTCTATCTTCCAGAGCAATATTTTCCTGGCGTGATCGTCGACGCAGAAATCGCCTACTTTGTGGCCAGCTGCGACCAGCTGACAGACCAACAGAAACAGGACGCTAAGAACGCGTTCCTGCAGCTTCTGCGAGGACAGGGGGTGTGCCTGGAGAACGGAAGAGCGGTGTGTAACGTCACCGACCTCTGGATAGAGTGTGGAGAAATCGACTTAAGCGGAGGCATTCAAAAGAGGGACGCTAGCTCTAGCCGCGTTCTCAAGTTCAAATTCAAACTAACCACGGACCAGAAGCCGGTCAGAACTATGAACTGTGGACGCTTCTGTGACGGACAGGCCGTGTGCGACGCTTGCTTCACCAATCACGTCCAGTCCACTGTCAGAAAGGTGACAGCAGAGCAGGAAAAATTACGGGAGGTTTTTGGAACGCAAGCTGCACCAGACGCGAGACCAAATCCTCAGCCTCGACCAGGCGTTTCCACAACCTCTGGTGCTGGCGTCGCACCAAAGTCCTTTAACAGAGGAATAACTGCTTTCCGAAGTAACCTAGCACGAAACTTCAACAGAGTTATCCCAAGCACCAGTGGTCAAAGCCCCGTGAGACCAACTGAAGCAGTGACGACAGCAGCGCCGCCTAGGGGAATGATGAACATCGGGGGGTTGGTTCTGATGCCTGCGCCCACCGGGTTACAGATGATGTCTGATGTCAAGATGGCGTGTGAAACTGGAATGGAGAAAAAACGTGACATGTGTGGTAAGCCAACAAAGGTCAAAATGACCCACAACGGTTCATATGCGTGTTACCTTCTGACGTTCTTTATTTAAAAAATGGATCGAATTGTTCTTTTAATGTATATTTTACCTCAATGGTTGTTACCACTTTTAAGATGAAAATCGCAAAAAAAAAAAAAAGAAAAGAAAGAAAGAAACGGCAGCGTGTATTATAACTACACTAGAAGATGCTTTTCCCCTACTATAACTAAAATTGGTTTTGGACGTATATTGTCTTGACTTGTAGGCCAACAGTAAATCTGGCAGTCAATATATCTACCTTCATTGTTAGGCAAAAGGAGTTCTCAGTCAAATGGCGGAAGTCCTTACTTACGTAGCCTTTGTTTCCCGCTATTTTATTTGAAATGTTTTCTGTTTTCAGTTCCCTGTACACCGGGAAGTAATCTGCCGCCAGGTGGCAGCAGGTGCGAGCAGTGCATCGCAGGAATGTACCAACCGGAAGCTCAGAAGACTTCCTGTATCCCCTGTCCCGCCGGGAAGACCTCGCCAAGGGGCGCTATTGGATGTGCATGATAAGAAACACAAGAAAGAGCGAAAGAGCTTTACAAACGACTTTTTAAATACAAAATAATAATATAGTAATCTCAATTATAGTTCAAGACAATAGAAATGAAAACATGCCGAAAAACCTAGTACTAAGTTTGAGGGGACCTATCCAGGGCCGTAGCCTCCGGGGGGGCAGGGGGGGCAGCTGCCCCCCCTAGGATTTGAGGTGCAAAAAAAAATAATCGCAAAGGTAAAAAAAAAATTGCAAAGTTAAATAACAGTTTAAATGCACCAGAATGCAGTATTATACATACAGTTTTTAAAAAAATTTCCACACCGTGGGAGGGGGACACCCCCTCCCCCCTCGGGGGCTTGGCCCCTTCGTGTCCGCTTACTGCCCCCCCTGGCATTTTGCTCAGGCTACGGCCCTGAAATGTGTCACTTTTATGGGTATTTTGACGGCATTTCCGCCAAAAAGTTCTTTACCGAACTAAAAAAAACATAAACCGTTGATATTTATGTTGGAATATCACAGCGTTGTACGAACCCAAATGTCTTTAACTTGAAAAGATAAAATGTGACGAAAAAAAGAAAAGAGAGCTATAACAATTTATAATTTCTAGTTAATGGGTGCCAAAAAAGTAGAACTATGATGTTTAAAAAAAAAACGGGTAAAAGAAAAGAAGGGAAAAAAGCAAGGCAATAAATATTTCAAAACTGATGGGTAACGCAAAAGAAAAAAAAAACCCTGATAGCCCTTATTCTATAAGAAATAGGTATAAATAAGAGAATATATATTTAAAAAACAGTGGGAACTCTTTTGTCCGACTTCCATATGTTCTGAATGCAGCGTGACACGTGTACCATCCAATTTTAGGATATATTTGATTTGTTCTCGCTTGAGCGCGTGATTGATTTATGAGGCAGTGCCACTTCAAGAACACCGCAGTATCGTTTCAGCAGATGAGCGACATCGCAAACATACCCCCTCACCCTCCCCACTTACTAAAATAACCATGGTGTATACATGTTCAGTGTCTCAGTCTCTGAATTTCGGCCCGGAAATGTGAATTGGCAGTTTAACACGCACCATAGCAATCGGCATTAATAAGCTAGAGGTAATATTTCAATTTTTTAGATTGTGGCTCTAGGACCAACCGCGCTAATATTTACGTCGTTTTGAAAACACAGGTGCGTGATTCTCGTTTATAGACATAGCCACAAGATAGATGGATGGCGGGTCGAGAGCAGGGTGTGAGCTGAGAAAGGATTTGTTGACTTTCATGAGGTCTCAAGTTCTATCCATACTAAAGCGGCAGAGGAGGTTCACAACATTAAAATACTTTCCTTAAAGAGTTTCGGAGCGGGGTGACAACAGGAAGAAAAATGGCATGTTTTATGAGTTTCATAAAAGCGATGAAGGAAAATGATATTCTTTCCATTGTGGGGCTATGTGATGGCATTGTATCAAGTCACTGCATTTCGCAAGCAATGATAAAGCGGTGCCAGATCCTGTAACCCCGCCATGTTTACCGCGGTTGCCGTTGACGAGGCACGTCTTGTGGACATAGCACCTAGATTTGTAAGGAAAGCTACGAAAAAGTAACGAAATTATCCGGTATTTAAGTATTATTTTCGGTGAACAGGAGCACAAACAAAATAAAGATACTCAAACGATGGAGCTGGAGTCCCTAGAGTATCGACAGTTGTCAATATGAGAAAACACCTAATGCATGCTTTTTTTTAGCTAATTAAAATTCAAAAAAGGCGCTGCCATTTATATTGATCTGCATTTCTACTGCATCATTTGTATCAAATTTGCATATAGAAAATTTTAAATCACTGTAAATTCTCCCTCCCTCCCTCTCTCTCTATCCCTCTCTCTATCCCTCTCTCTCTCTCTTTCTCTTACCTGCTGCGTTTTACGTCCAACGCTGACTTGTGTGGTGAGAAGTCTGGGACGCTGAGACTCCTGGTAAAAATTTTATTTTGGCGCTTCCGTGAGTAGTTGGTTACCCTGTAGAAAATAACAAAGAAAATCTAATCGTTTTTTCTTTATAAAAATGTTGCTTACTTGCTAATTTGTCAGAACAAAACCAGTGTTTTAATAAAAGCGAGAGCTTAAACCTTTCAACTGTTGTTAAGATAGGCTTAATCTGCTATTGCCTTTTAAGGAAAGCTGTAGACAGTTCCATCCTATACAGTACAACATACCCAATATTTGGATTATTGTTTTCTTATATTGGAACCACTATTGATGTTACTTTTCAATGTTCCACAGCCAGAGAGGATAGAATTGAATTTTAAACCATGCATAATATTCGATTTTTGAAAATTTACAAACAATTAATACCACATATATTTGAAACACTACAATGTAGCTACGCGCACTGCCATGCGAAATTCGCAGGTGTCTAACAAATTAGCTAACAGAAAGCTGCTAAAACATGTGTCTTGTACGTAATATTGTACGAGATCGATGGGGAGATAAACAAAGTATCAGCTGCCTGGAAATTAAAACTGCGCTTTTGCCTGCAATAATTGATCATGATAAAGATACACGTTTAATTTTAATCAAAAGAACGTAGTTCACGGCTTTCAAATCTAAAATTTAAAAAAATAGGTCTATTCCGGGAATCTTCGGCAATTTTGTAAAAATCACATACAGGTCCATGTATTTTAACTAATACGGTGTTACCAATTCAATGTCCGCTTTCAGTTACGAGAAAAGAAATCCACAGTTCGTCATATTTCACAATTCAATCCTCTCTACAGATTGAAATAATTGTTTCCACAATTCAACTGGAGGCATGGCTCCAAGGCCCCTCCTTCCTCAAAATATTCATTAGTACTACACCTCACTAGGTCTTGTTTTCGGGACTTCATTGCATCTCGGATTGTTGGATATATGGAAATTGTCCACATAAAAAAACTGCAAGAACTCCGTTTTGGAAATCCAATGAAAAAAATTAGACACGTTCAGCAATTAAAAATATCTACCACCGGTTCACGCGGACACGAGTACGGTCAAGGTCGATGGTGGAGTTAGTCTCAAGAGGAATCTGAAGAGGTTCAAATCGATGGAATTAAAGTGCACCAATTACAACAGTCGGCAAACTGAACTCGGGGCGCTTTATTTCCACTATTGATGAAATATTCGATATTTGTGTACAGAACCGAAATCCAAACAAGGTCGCGGTAGACCACCCCACAAATTGCAGGTGTAACAACTGTATAGACGAAGGGAAATGTACCTCATTACTTTCACTAAATGAACCCATCGTCTATTTAACAGGAATGAAAATATTTACTGTATCAATCCTAGCGCCTAATTGAGAGTGTAGAATCTCATTGTTAGACCCATGGCCCGTGTTCGGTCCAATCTCTGTTTGGATTTTAGATCACTCTATTGGGTCTGATGAAATAATACAGCAGGATTGAATTTATTCGATAAGATTTTGTATGAAATATGAATAAATTTGTTCCATTATCCCTCGGAATATCACATAAAGATGCATTGGTTATTCGTGAAAATAGTCGAAAACAGGATGTCTGTGATAATATACTGTTGGCGCGTATGTTAAGAAAAGCGTGCTCGTGCATTAAGGCACGTTATCTTACCTATAAAGCTGGACGACGGGGTCCAGGGCAAACACCGGCAAAGTTCGAGGCTCTGCCGTCGGTAACACCCTTGGTAACGCCCCAAACTCAGCACAAGACACGGCGTTCCTTTTCATTTTCGCCACAAGACGACTTAAATCCAAATAATTTGATTCCCTCTTTAGTTCAAGCTTGCTCTGTGAATGTGAAAATTCTCTTCACGCGCTGACAGCCTGAGCCTCGGGTCGTTATATCAATGTTTTTAATGAATTGTCACATCCCACACTGCCGATGACAATAGGCTGAGTTTACCTTGACGCGTGGTTTAATGAATTCGAGTATCTATTGCTAACTCCCGTTTTGTTCAGGGATGACCCCTTTCTTCAATCTCCTCATTTGGAAAATACTTCCTGCCCTCTTTTGCGATGAAAGGCTTTGTAAAGTTCTTCCCCTGAAAGAGTGACTAGGTTTTAATAGCAGCCCTTCACGGCCGCAGCTCATCGCGTCAAGTCAAACTTTATAGGTTCCAATAATGCTAACAAACTTGAGGCCATACGATACTGATGAAATTCGCTGCTTCTCAGCTTTGCAGTTTCTTTTTGTTGCCGTTAATACCTACGGCGCCTCGTTTCAAAACCAGACATAGATTTAATTCTTTTCCAACGTCGTATTTTTTTTGTGCGCACGTCAAAAATGTACTCGCTACAAGTAGTGCGATGTTGCCTGCCGTGTCCCCTCGACTTTATTGCATCGTGTGTCCACAGGTGGGTCAAGCACGCCGTCCATCATGGTCCATCGGTGGTCTGAAATAAAAGACGAGCGAACGTGAGATTTGAAACAATGAATAAAACGGTCGTATACAGTCTTGGGGCAAGGCTGAGCGTGGTGGGTGTTTCAACAGAGCCAGTCATTTAAGTGACTGGAGCGTGGAAATAATTTGAGGAAAAACAAGAAGCACCTGCAGACTTAAAAACCGCAGATAGCAAGGAGTTTGTGGTAAAATCCGGGGGCAAAATCCATCACTTTAGCGTTTACAAAAATGCGCCAGAAACTGACAAAGTGTTAAACCAGTATACTAGACATACTTTCATATTCTATATAGAAGAATAGTCAGGACAAAACTATAACTCAAAGTCCAGCGAGACAAAACTATATAACTGTGAAGGGCAGGATTTTTTACATTGTCCTTCTGTATCAAATATTCGTATCAACAAAGAAACTTCGGCTATAGTCGCTATTTTAGCAATTCATATTTCTAGTGTATCGCTCGCTTTAAGTGACCCACCAAGCATCACATGATAAACAGTTTTCTGTCGAAACAATTTCAGGATAAATTTCAACCTTTTGTTGAGAACACCTCGCCATTGATGGGTTCTGTCGGGTTCAAAAGACCCTTTACAATTTTGGAAACTCAGACGGACGTCTCACCTGCTACACTTTCAGAAAAGATAGTATAAGGTCAGCCAACATTGCGTGTATCGGAAAAAGTTCAATTCTGTTTTGGCGACCCCAGGTGACAGAAACAACCGAAACAGAACCATCCCTCCTTATGTACTTTAAGATATAATGATGGTGTCTCGCTCTTCCTCCACTTCTTTTTTTTC